GGAACGAGACACTGCGTCCTCTAGGTTTCTTGCCATGCTTCGGACGCAAGCTTCAGACAAAGAAGTGGATGATGTGTTCTCCCGGTGCCTATTTATACTATAGTCCAGGGTGCGAACTACGGGGGAGCTAGGGGGAGCTCGGCTCCCCTTAATAAGACATGGGCTCCCCTGAAAACGGGATTTGTGAAATTTTGGGGGTCTCAGAAAATATTGACAATGTGTTATTTTGACGTGCAATTTCAGTTTTGTGTAATGTGATCATGGTGGATTATTATGTGTAAAATTGCAAAAATATAATTCATTCATGCATGACGGCGATTTAAACCTAATTTACTTCAATAAAGATAACTATACTAACTATATTCTGCGGTGCAAATTCCACTCATGTTTAGTACATGTTAACTCAAAGATTCGTAGAAAAAATATAAACGGACTCTGTGGTCGATTCTGTGTTAAGGTAAGGCATGTTATTCGCAATTATGTGTTGAGGCTGGGTTGTTATAGGTCTGCGTGACTCTCGATGTCTTAGGCCTAATTGAAAGGAAGAATTATGGCTGTAGCCTGTAGCCTGACGACGAGTAACTTTGTTAACCGTTGTTCATGTGAACTCAAAGACAGCCTTGTTTATAGACTACCCCCCCCCCCCATTCTCTTTGATGTAATATCAACTTCCCCTATGGATCTGATGTCTGGCTTGCTTATCTTGTCTGAAGGTTCTAGTTGAGGAGAAACTGCAGAATAATCGGTTCACTTTAAGACAATAATTAATTCATCACCCATCACTTGGATGCAAACCTGTGGGATTAGCAGACCATTGATCTGTAATAACTATATCAGTCCTCCTATGTGTGATGTGTACAGATTAGCATATAGGCTTTGGCAGATGGGGAAGAAGGCATCTGCCAAAGCTTATTTTCACTTTTGTGCTCCGTTGACTGTAAACCCCCTCACATAACATGAAATCGCAGTGTTACCTCACCCAACATGAACTACATATTTAAACACAGCTAGCTGCGAAAGTTCGACAACAGCCTCGGGGTCGCAGGACCTTTGCAGACATCTTCGCCACAATGCTCTCCTTTTCTCCTTCACATGTCTTGTGAAATTCAGCTGTAACTTTGATCCAAAGGTTTGATGTTCTCCCTGTTTGACAAAAAAAAAAAACTAAGGTATATCTTTCTTCTCTTTGTTTTTAATGAGACCCAGTTGCAGCAACAGGCCAGTTGACATTAACTTGCGCTGGCCAGTTCCTGAAGTTTGCTACACCACTTTGGGTTTATTTTTCTCCTTCTGCTTTCTATTCCACTTTGATCACAATTTTCTGTGACAACTGGAGAATCGTAGGGGTTTTTTTAGCTAAAAGTGGACAATCGCATTCAAGTGAAATCAAACATTATTAGACAGTCTGAAAAGAGTGATTCTGCGAGCTACTGGAGCGATGCCGCCAAGATTTTCTGTTTATATGGTCTGATGTGTGGCGCTGAATTGCACTGAAGCGACAATTTGCTGTGTGGATACTTAAAGGGGTCATGGACTGAGAAATCAAAAATCCCTTGACATGTAAGAGGTCATTGTACCATAAAAACATCCTGTAAGTTTCTAAACTCAAAACTTTCTTGTTAGTCTAAAAACAGCTTATATTCAAAACTTTCTTGTTAGTCTGAAGCCCATTTGCCAAAACAACAGGTTGTGGAATGTGCCGCTTTATGACGTAATAGTGTGGCTAAACACCGCCTCTGCAGAAGATCAACGCCTGCTCTACATCACTACCTGCTTAGCCCCGCCCACTGATTCAAGCATGTGGTGTAAATAACGAGAGGCAAACGCAGGTCTGCACAGAAATCAAACAATAAAGATGGCTCCGAAGACAACCAAACCTCTGTGGAAAAACACGGTCTTTACATCGCCTTCCTTCTGCTCCCAACATTAGGAAAGAGTGATCAGTGGATGGTCCTTATTTGTAATGAAGTTCAGACTGCGTCAGTAAGAACTTGGTCCTTTGTTCACTGCATTTTACCATGGATTCATTTACAAACAAGGCAGAATATTTCAGAAAGACTGAAACTAAAAGACAATGCTGTGCTGACTATATTGGATACGACAGTAATGTGGCACCACACAAGTGTAAGTAACTGTTTTTATTATGTGGTCACTATTACTTTGTTATTACAGATCGTTTGATTTGTTTGAGTATTTATGCGTTTTCAACCTAAATCACAGCAGCGTCCATCTGTGAAGGATGTAGGCTGTCAAACATACACAACTGTTAGCCAATCATAGCAGTGTGCGTTTACTTCGTGCGTTCCGATGAGAGGGTCAAAACAGGACAGAAAATAGCATATTACTTCTAAATTATGACGCATTTTGATGTAAAAATCTTGATAACATTATAAGTGGACCTCAGAGAACAGTCCAAAATAAAAAACAAAGGCAGTTCATGACCCCGTTAAACTATTATTTTCAATGTCCTTGCTTATATAATGAATGTTTACACGCGTGCTCCCTTCTGCAAAAAGGTAGCGAAAACCATGGCTTTGGCTTATATTTATTTCATCTAAAAGGAGTGATATAGCACAAAGAATTTGACAAATCTGATATTTAAGAGGACCCATGGGAAATAAAGATGGCTAAAGGTGAGTGTAGAGAGGTAAAAAAAAAAAGAGAGAAAACAGATGAATTAAAGACCAGCTGCACTAAGAAAAGGCACAATGGCCAAACGTTGGCACATTACCAACATGCCACGGCTGCTGAAGTCATGACAAGAGTGTTGCCATGGCAACATTTTGAACTGAAAGCTTTGTCTGTGCCATTGTGCCTTTTCCTGCCTGTAACCCCGCAGCTCCATTACTGCTCTGCGGGGTCTTAAGTTAGCTACTTATTCACGGTCGTTCCCTGGAGAGCCAGCCTACAGGAACCATTCCAACAAGAACTTCTCCGTCATTACCTTTTTATCACGAGAAGTGCAGTTCAAAGAAATGACGGAAACAAGCACTGATCAAGCACGTGTGAAGGCATAAAGAATTTTGGTATTCAAAAGGCTCCTTTCACAGGGTCAAAGGAGAGAAACTCACTGGGGTTGTAAAATGACGAGGGTGTAGATATGTTGATCTCCTGCAGGTGCTCCAGTGTTTCCGTATGGAACAAGCGTATAGAAGAACCTTCTGAAAAGGCCATCCATGCGCCCCCACCAGCTCGCACCATGTGGGCCACGCTCACCATCGGGTCTTGATGGACCTCAAACCTCTAAGACAGAACAGAGGACAATAGGATTACATTAGAGAGATAGGAGTTAGCTAGCTTCATATCAATACAAGTCAAGTGGGACATTTTCTGATAGTTGTTTTTAAGATATGACGCCAAATTTCTCACATAAAACCATTTCAAATAGCTGAAGAGCTACTTAACCCTCATGTTGTTCCAAACCTGTAGGAATTTCTTTCTTCAGAGGAACACAAATGTGTTTGCCCATACAAACCAAACTACACTGAATCCCACAGCATTTCATTTTATGGAAAAGGCATTAAAAAAAAACTCCTTTTTTGTGTTCCTCACACAAAATCATACTGGTTTGGAACAACATGAGGGTGGGTAAATGACAGAATTTCCATTTTTGAGAATAAACTCGAGTGTCCCACTTTACTTGTTGATTTAGACAAAGACGTAATTGTGATAATGCAAAACCTGATAAGATGCCAAATAATACAGCATTTTAAGATTCTTAAAAACTGAAAACAAGTCACTGAAATTGCATGTTTACATATAAAACGGTCATTATTTTGATCATCGGAAGTGTCTAAAACACATTTTTATGCATTTTACGCAAGTTATAATTTTGCTAAATTGTAAGCAAATGGCTGCAATATAACAAAGAGTGAAAAATTTAAGGGGGTCTGAATACTTTCCGTACCCACTGTATAAAGTAGCAAATCACATTTTAAAGTCACAACTTTGAGTTATAAAGTCACAATAATGACAAATTCAAAATCTGAGATATAACGAAGATGAAACAGGCTTCCATAGTGTCAGTGGCAGACTACAGACACTGTACACAGTACTGTTCCCCTTCAGGAACTCAAGCTGCGTCGAGATTCGCGACTCCAGGGCATCCGCATACTCAATTACATCGACGATTG